ATATGGACAAGGGACAAATTCGATGAGAAATAACACATATTCGTGTTCAGTTATCTAAGTGCATACTTTATTAAGTGTGTAATATATAAACACACCTAGTCATTCATCAGTGTAAACACAACCATAAATATTCAAGTCTATTAGTGCCTGCGTCTAATTTCAAGTCACGAAGACTTTTTTTTTGCATTTGTGAGAACCACAAATCCCGCTTAATCAACCATGGAGCCATTTACACTAGTGCCTTTTCATTTCAAACCGTGTAAGATTTGTTATGGTTATCTATACTACTCTGGCATCTTTGACCCACATTTCTTAAACAGTGTATATGCAGGCATCCAAAAGACAATCTCAATAACTTTTTAAATAAAAAATGACTTTTTAAAGACCTTGTCAGATTATTTTAAAACCTCATCGCCACTTCAAGTTCTAATCGGTATCAAACTTTTAGTTTAATAAAGTTTTTAATAAACAGTTAAAGTTAAATAAATCAATGGAGCACAACTATATAACAGAACTCAGATAAACTCGTAAGAAACAAAGCTTCTTCACGGTTGTAAAAAATTTGTTTCTAAATTGCGGGGTTGTTTTCAGAGACTGGCTTCAGCCACTGTTTAAACTCGTCTTTTTCTAACCAGGAAACTTACATTTTCCCATTTTGCCGTCTGTTTGGCTCTATGGTTTCGCTACATGTGGAAAGCGCCACATCACCTTCTCACGTTTGTCACAAATTACGTCACATCACCCGGACGGAGAATCTTGGCCGGACGCGTCCCTGCCTGAACCAATCCCATGAATCAAGCACGCCGTTGTTAATATTAGGATGGAAATAAATATATGCAGGGCCGGAGTGGGACTCATTTTCAGCCCTGGAGTTTCAAGCCAGACCGGCCCACCTCAGTTCACGACTGATTCCAATTCAGTTACTAATGGCACTATCACGTCCTTTTTAAGAAAACTGCTGCTTTAGAAATTCAAATGTTCAACAGCCCTAACAGTATTTTATGTCTTAACAATAAAATCAGAAAAAAAAAAAAAATTTCATGGGAAATTCGATCACAGGTCTGCAACATTGAAATGCAATGTGCTTACCACTGGACCACATTGGCGCTATTTCATTAAGAGTAAAAAATAACTAATGACTTGTGACCCTCAAGACACCGCACTACTTTCTTTTTGATGGCTCAATCTTTTTCTCCTATTTTTAGATTTCTGATCAAGTTATGTCAGATTTATTAATGTAGTGAATCATTTGATTTTCATTGAGCAGGTGTATTATTCATTTTATTCGAATTCTTATATTCACTAAGGTGCCGCTGTTTGGGGTCGATAGTTACATTACATCATCATCATTAACGTTGGTTAACCTGCAGGCTGCATTTTTCTCACGGGGCTGCGAGAAAATAAATAAAAAGAGCGGCACTGCGGCAAAATAATGATTAAAAAGAGTAAAGCTATGGTCAAATAAATAAATATAAATAGAATAAAAATAAATAGAAGAAAAAAGTGTGACTGCTGAGAGTGCAAGCAGCTAGGGACACCGGCCCTCGCGGCCAAAAAACAGACCGGCCCACCGGGAATTCTCCCGGTCCTCCCGATTAGCCAATCCGGGCCTGAATATATTTATACTTTTTAGGAGTCAAACACTTTGAACAACGCTTGAACAAAATTGAAGACCTCGTAAAAACTTTATTAAAATGTTTAATATCTTTTAACAGCCATTTTTCTCATAATTGACTTATCAACTTTTAATACTTTTTAAGACCCCATGAACACCCTGTTAAAACTGCTGAAGACTCTGTTTTTAGTTTTGTTTTAGGATGGTCTGACATACTTTTGAAAACTGAGGCAGGGCTTTCTATAAATGCTCTAACTGGTCTTCGGGACTATTGTGTATTGTTTCCTGACTGGTCAAGCACCTCTGATATCACCATAATGCAACCACTACAATGATGGATACTGGCAAAACATGCCCAATGAATGTGAATAGTCACATATCGTGCATTTTAGGCTGTAGAGTGTGGACAGAGATTGTTTCTGAAAAACAATTGAAAAACGGCAGTCTGGATGAGGAACGTTTTCAGTCTAAAACGACATTTAAAAACGAAAACGCACTACTGTAAACACAGCCCATATATCAGATCTTTGTTTTTCTTTTCAGATTTGCCCATGCAACACTAGCAAAAAATAAAGGCAATGACATTCAGGGAGCTTGTCTACACGGCACAACAAGACGAACAGCATGCAAGAGAAGTGGATACAGTCAAAGAAACAAACGCATTTAGCCTCAGCAGAACAGCTGTTTGGGTAGTGAGCACAAAAGAAACACTTCTTGTAGACAGAACAATGTGCTATTTAATTGTGGCACAGTATCCATGCCAAGACTCTGATGTACAGACAGCCCCTTCGTGTATCGGTTTACAAACAGTACTGACTGAAGCTTGCTCAGCAACCTGTGCTAAGACACTGGACAAAGCTCAAAATCTAACTTGTGTTTTATACAGTAAAATGTGTTCATTGTGTCTGACGCACATTTGAATTTTTGCATAATAATGTCTTCAGGAGAGTGTCCAATCCTAATTGACACCATAAATCCTTTCACAGTCCATACTTTCGAGATGTAATGTGGCTTTGATTGATGTCTGTGCAGGGGAAGCCTCAGGTCCAGTTTGATATGATTTTATGTGTTCTTGCAGACTCATGGAGTTTGTATCTGTTAAGTGCAAGAGGCTGAAAGGTGTCAGATTTTAATTCACTTTCATAAGAGTGAACCCGATTGCCCGCGTTGAGACTCAATCACAAAAAACACTTTCAAAGGTTCACTTTGACTGTTCGATGAAAATCCACTCATAGACTGTCTCAATCCCAATTCCAAATGGCACAATTTATGTTCATTTGGGGTCTTGCAGACACATGGTCTTTAGCCTCTTTTCCACTGCACAGTATGACTCGCTTTAGTTTTGGTAGGCTCCGGTTAGCATTTCCACTGCAGTTTAGTACCACTTAAATTGGTGGGATGGGGTATGCACACAATGACTTTTAATTTTCAGTAAGTCAGCTCAAGTGCTTCCGAGAAACTGTCATGCCATTACAAAATTACTACGTTTAAGATCTGGTTTCTTTAAAAATCAGTGATCTTCACTGCCTGATTGATATACCATATAAAGCGGGTCTCAGACCGGATAATAAGCACTACATTTAAATAAATTGTTCTGCGACATGTCTTTAAAATATGGAAATTTATTTTATCAGGGTATTTTCAATGGAGTTGCTGGGCTTGCCTGCTGCTCCAGATATCTCATAAACCTTTTACTGTAAGTTTATTGGTGGCTGAAAAACTCTATATGCATATACCCCATTATCATTATAGTTTTGCCACCTGTACTGCCCTGACTTCCTGAAAACAATAACTTTTTTCAGGTTATCCCATTAAGATCGACTCATAGGCTACCAATGAAAGTAATATCTGGATCTCTTCTACATTTTTTGGATCTTCAGATTGCCTGTCTGTTAGTACCACAAGGTTTCAGAAGTAATCACAGTTAGCTTTCTATGGGTCTGCACTGAGACCCAATCCCAAATAGCACCCTAAACTCTTGTAGTCTTCCTCTGAGTCAGAGAATGTCCCAGGCGGGCCAGGTTCCAAATTGGGGTCTTGCAGACTTAGGGATTCTGTGTCTGTTAAGTCCATGAGACTGTAGTGTGTCCAGTTCATAATTTCTGCTTTCAGAAGGGCACTCACAAAACACATCTCTTTGAGGCGGCTTTATGCACTTCTGACTGTTGAGTAGCAGTCTGCTCTGAGACAGTCTTAGGCCCAATCCCAATTGGCACACTTCATGTTTGCTTAGGGGACTTAAGGACTATGTTTCTGTTAAGTCTACAAGACTGTAGGGTGTCTCATTCTCCATTCAGGCTTTCATAAGTGTGCTCACAAACAGCCACATTTATGGCCACAATGTGCCCTTGTGGTGCACTTCTGCCAAGTCCATCCTGAGAGACAATCCTAAATTTCACCATAAACCTCTGCAGTCGTCTTTTAAGTCCATACTTTTGTGACATAAGACAGGTTTTAATAGTGGGCAGAAGCTCGCCGCCGCCAAACATACCAATTCATGTCCACTTTAAAAAATGTGTGCATGTCCGCAAAGTCTATAAGACAGTATGGTGGCCCATTCATCATATGTTTTCATGAGCCTTCTTGGAATCCACTTTGTGCCATTGTAATCCCAAATCCCAGCTCAATCCCAAATAACATCATAGCCCCTCGCAGTCTCTCACTGAGTCCACAATTTTGTGACGTTTCAAAGATTTTAATGTCAAGTAACAGTTTGCTCAATGCATGCCTCCGACCCAATCAAAATTGGCACACATCAAGTCCACTCAGTCTTGTTGCTTTACAATGGCCGTCATGTATGCATGCCTGTTTAGTCATACCCTGTTTACATCATACGGTGTTACGTGCATCATTTTAGCTTTCAGCTTTCAGGTGCTTGCGAAAGCTCCTTTTGACAAAAACTACAGAAGTGTTAGTCGAAAGTGTGTTGAACTTAAAAGGTGAACACCTGCAAATGGAGCATTTACAAGCAAGTTCATTGACATGGACCACGCCACACTTTAAGCAAAACTTTATTGTAGGGATATAGGGATAAAGGGGAGGGTAAGAGAACAGCGGGATGAAGGGGAAGGGAAGTAAAAGGATAAACAGTGAACAGATAGGTTGATCGGGCGTCCTGCGGTAACGCCCAAAGACTCAGAGTGGGGGCCATCTCTGTAAAATTTTGATAGAGTAATTGGACCCCCCGGATTAAACCTAGGAGTGAAAAGATGGTTATAGGATTGTGAATGGGAAGCAAAAAAATAGAGTTAGGGTGGGTGAAGAACAGAACTAGAGGGCTGGTCTGCCTCAAATAAGTTTTTGGAAGTAGGTGATTGGTTAAGGAGACAAAATGAGGTGTGCCCAACCTTTGTTAACAAGTTAACTCTATTTTCGGAAAGCTAAATTAATGGATGAGACAATGTATGTTTATTTGTTTACCAGAAGTGTGCCATATGAAATTTGGCCACAAGGTATTAACAATGAAAACAATTGGAAAAGAAACAGATGTGGCAGAACAACAAACTACCAAAGACAAAGACACCCACATTGACAAGCTGTTGTTTGAGTGGATTAAGACAGGAGCCTGTGAGCCTATCATAAGGAGTTTCCTTGAAAAGCATTGCATCTGTACATGTAAAACATTAAGTATACTTTAACCTTTATTATGTAGATACATGCAATAAGAGCATCACAACCACTCTGTAACATTGACAGTCATGAAATCTGGCTGAAATGCTAATAATAACTTACAATGCAATTCTATTTTATTTAATTTTTCAGTAGCAAAACAACACCACTTTACCAAAAAAAACTTTTTTTTTCTGAATATTATTACCCTCGATTTTATTTAAATATTTTTAGGAAACTGAATCAACAAGTTTCTCATCTATCAGTGCAGTAATCTAGTTTAAATGACCTGCATTTAAGAGTTACTCCCATAGTAGTCATATAAGTAAAAGCTTTTCCTTCGCTCCCAGTGCTGTCTTTTATACAGTGTACAGATACGAGAAACTGAGATGTTTAAATCACATGAGAATCTATCTATCTATCTATCTATCTATCTTTGCTAATAAATATGAGCATGAATTATGGGTTCTACCCCAATCTTCTCACAGATCTGTTATTTGGGGTGTAGTGAGGGGATACACTGTCTGGGATGACCCAACTCCCATTGGCCTCAGCTTGTAAACAGAATGAAAGAAACTTGGAAACCATTGGTGCTCCCTGTTGAGCTTCCACTCAGGTGCTCCGCTCCTACCGGTTCTGCCTGGATCCAGACTGCCTCATTTTTTGTTCTTGAGTTGGTTGGCCAGCCAATCCAAACCCTCATATAGACCATCTCCACTGGTGGCGCAAGTGGCTTGGATATACCAGTTACGATGGCGTAGGGAGTGGAGACCAAGCTTATCAGTGATTTCTGCAGCATTCATGGCATTTGGCAGATCCTGTGCAGTGAGACAGAAACATACACAACTATATATCTTACTATGGATACACATAATGTAGACTCTTCAGTATAGACACATTATTTTGATGCTTCTCTTTAGGCGTTCTGTCGATCTAACTTTGCAACTTCATGCCCACTAACTGTCTTTAGAGTTTCAGAAGCAGATTAATGGACAGTTGCTTAAGGATAAGGGTGATTGGAAGTTGACGTAAAAATCTAGGGTTATAATAAATAAACTTAAATACTTAAATAATTAAATTAACTTAACATTTTTTTTCTTTTATTCAATTAGCTTTCTAGTGATTTTTTCAGACTTGTGTTACCCATGGTAACTTATTTGGCCAGCCATTCCATCTGACAAGAGAGGGAGAATGATGGTTGGGGGAAACGAATTTAACAGATGGTCATATTTTATTTAGCGTAACCTTTTGCCAAAAAAACAAACAAACTGAAATTAAATGTTGGGAATGAATCAAATGGACATTGTAGAAGACAACAGCGAGTAAATCAAGGCAAAAGCAGCTGCAAGCAACTTCACTGGTGTACTACTCGACATTGAACTTAATTGTGTTATAAATCAAATTGTTTATGTTTTTATGTTAAGAAGTGTATTATTCATTCATTTAATCAACTTCTTTTCGGCTTAGTCCCTTTATTAATCTGGGGTCGCCACAGCAGAATGAACCGCCAACTTATCCAGCGTATGTTTTACGCAACAGATGCCCTTCCAGTCGCAACCAAAAGCATCCATACACACTCATTCACGCACACATGCATTCACATGCTACGGTCGATTTTAGCATACTCAATTCACCTGTACCACATGTCTTTGGACTTGTGTGGAAAACTGGAGCACCCGGAGTAAACCCACGCGGGGAGAACATGCAAACTTCACACAGATATGCCAACTGACCCAGCCGAGGCTTGAATCAGCGAACTTCTTGCTGTGGGGCAAACTTGCTACCCACTGTGGAACCATGTCACCCTAAGTTTATTTTATAATGTACAAAAATTATTTATAATATTAAAGTCATTTTTTTCTATTTATGTAAAATATTATTAAATTTACAGTTTGTAATACAATATATATATATACAGCTGAAGTCAAAATTATTAGCCCCCCTTCGATTTTTTTTTCCCTTTTTTTTTATATTTCCCAAATGATGTTTAACAAAGCAAGGAAATTTTCACAGTGTGTCTGATAATATTTTTTCTTCTAAAGAAAGTCTTGTTTGTTTTATTTTGGCTGGAATAAAAGCAGCTTTTATTTTTTATTTTTGTTATTTTAATGTAAAATTTTTAGCCCCTTTAAGCTATATATATTTTTGATAGTCTACAGAACAAACCATCATTAAACAATCACTTATTAATTACCCTAATTACCCTAGCCTGCTTAGTTAACCTAGTTAAGCCTTTAAATGTCACTTTAAGCTGTATAGAAGTGTCTTGAAAAATATCTAGTAAAATATTATTTATTGTCATCATGGCAAAGATAAAATAATTCAGTTATTAGAAATTAGTTATTAAAACTATTATTTTTAGAAATCTGTTGAAAAAATCTTCTCTATGTTAAACAGAAATTAGGAAAAAAAAAACAGGGGGGCTAATAATTCAGGCGGGCTAATAACTCAGGCGGGCTAATAATTCAGACTTCAACTGTACATACTGGGGATGCATCGAATACTGAAAATGTTTTGTGGAAAATGGCCCAAAAGTGCATTTTAGCTTTTCGGTCGAAAGATTTTTATCACCGAAACAACGCGTCCAAAACAAACACAAGAGAGCGAGATCTGTCTGAAGTCCCCATATGCAGACGTAATGACCCATTGTTGCAATATGCTAAACAAATATTTTCATAATTTGTAATTGATTTATTCTTTGAATCTTTAATATTAATTTATACAATTGCAATGCCTTTTACTAAGATTAGTACACAGTCATAGCCATAAATCTTAGGTCTTAAACGCAATTCCTGGAGGGCCGCAGCTCTGCACAGTTTTGCCCCAACCCTAATTAAATACAGCTGATCCAACTATTCAAGGTATTCAGGAGTAGTCTTGAACACCTTGATTAGTTGGATCAGGGTGTGTCTGATTAGGGTTGAAACAAAACTGTGCAGAGCTGCAGCCCTCCAGAAATTAAGTTTGAGACCTATGCTATAAATGCAAATGAACTAATAACTGGCATATTTTATTTGGTGTTTCAGTTTTGGTTTTCCGCCTTGGTTTCCTGTTTTTCACTTTTCGGTTTCATTTCAGTGCACCCCTAATATATATATATAAACACACACACACACACACACACACACACACACGCTGGACGGGCATTAGAACGGGCATTGTCAGAGGCTGTAGTGCTACCCAAATGACTATTTAACGTACTGAGGAATATTGTGCACGAAGTTACTCATTTTCAAGTCGATAATCCAAAACAGTTCATCTAAATCAATTGCTGACATTAGTTCGAGCACTTCAGTCAGCACTTCCCTCAGTCTCATGCTGATGCACATGCTTGTAAGTTAGCCACGCCCACTTATTTACATGTCATAGTATACACGGAATTAAAAAATCTAATACACTTCAGAATTTATTCTCACAAAGTATAAAGTAATCAACAAAATAGCTCTCAAACTATGTAAGATTTCAACTTATTTTCCCACAAGCACCCAGTGTCTAAAATCTTTTGCGCACATTGACTTAAAACCTTTTAGAGATTTAGTGTTGGGCGCATCGTGACCTATTCTATCACACTATAATACAGCAGCTGCACACCATCAGATCAGAGAGACCTTCAGCGGGTGGTCAAAACTGCTCAACACATCAGTGGCAGACCTCAACAACCACTGCCGCCAATGAGCTCTCCAAATCATCAGAGAGCCCATCCAGACCAAAAATAGTCTGCTTTCACCTCTCTGCCATCTGGAAGACGTTGCAAATACATACAAGCAGGCCTGAGGAACATTTTCTGTCTTACAGATGCTTCCCTTATCATTCCTCAGCATCAATACACAAACATACATCAAAACACAGCAGCTACATCGACACTTCTTCATTATCAACAACTCAATGAAGCTAATGCACATGCTATATGGCAATGCAATGTAACACCAGGGAATTGTTTCTGATTTGAAGAACACCACAGAAGCATGAAGAAATGATCATTAGGAATGCTCTTGCCTGCTTGTTGGCAAAGATGAGAAGTACGGCATCTCTCAGTTCATCCTCAGCCAGCATCCTCATCAGCTCTTCTCTGGCTTCGTTCACTCGCTCACGGTCATTGCTGTCCACCACGAAGATCAGACCTTCAAAATACATGGGACATGAAATGTTGATTTGTAATCATTTAAATTTATTTCAATAAACTTTATTGTATATTTCACAGAGGTTAAAAATGTGTCTTTAGACATCATACACAACAACAAAACATAAATACACTTACACAATTATTTAAAAAAATCCTATTTCAAAAATCCTAGTAAAAAAACAATGGCAGTGAGACTAAATGTCTTTTTTTGCTAAAGGGACTTTATATCGTCTACCAGACAGTAACTTAAAGGAACCATGTAAAGGATGACAAGAGTCTTCTGCAATAGGAGGTTTTTCTTTTTCTCGCTGCTATAAATAAATCAGCAAGAGGTGTTTGTTTTACACCAATTATTTTACTTGCTACGTTTACCAACCTTAAAAGTTAATTTTTTCTTTTAACAGAGAGGGCGTCAAACCAAGGAACAATAATAAAAGTAAGGACAGTCATTTATAACCGAAAATCAAAATGTTCTTCTTAATATCTGTCACAGTCACCAGCGGTCTAGCCCATGCAGATTGCTGGAGAACTACAAATCTGCCAGCAAAAGAACTACATATCCAGTCATGCACCACTCACACACCTGGCTTAGATACTCATGATTGCAAACAAACACAGCTGAAGATGTTCAGGACTAATTACACAGACTATAAATACACCTCTCAAACACGCACACATTGCTGAGTCTTGTTATACTGATTGTGAACATTATGACTTGTTTTCCTTGTCTTGCCGGTTCTGACCCTTGTTTTGTTTGTTTGCTGTCTGCCTTTTGACCATCTGCCTGTTTATTGACTACGACTCTGGATTGCCCGTATACATCTGTTTTCTCCTGTGTTGATTGTTGCTTGCCTGACCATTCTCTGCATTAAAAACCCTGCATTTGGATCTGCACTTCCTTGTCAGCATCCCCTTTCACATTACAATATCAAAACTTCTCAGTTTTATCAACAAACTCAACCGATGCTGAGCCTTTAAAAAAACATTCCCTGAGTGTTTATCAAAAAAGAAAGTCGATTTCCACACCTAAATATTTAAAAGAACTCACCTGTTCAACTTCCTCCCCATTAATTAACAAAGAGTCACAAAATGTTCATGTTTTGTTTGTTTTGTTCCACAACACATTTCTTTCGTCTTACTAATGTCAAGCTGCAAGGAATTTTCTGTTGTACAACTTGTAATAAAATTGACTAAATTTAGATAATTATCCAGTGAATATCCTTTACACATCCCTAATGTGAGCAGATTAATAATAATGTGAGGAAGTATACAGGCAGCCAGAATTAATGTGCATGACTTTTCACAGATTCCCAAATTTTGATATTAATCATGACAGGCTGTGGAGGTAATGATATTGAAATAATGCTCAGTTTCTTGCACACATTGATCATTTTGCTTATTAAACTTAATGTATCACTAGGAGCCATGGGTATTAATTTTGTGTTGGCTGTATGTGTGTTTTTTTTTAACTTTTGCCAACAGCCGTTCACTAGCATTTCAGAAAAAACAGAAACAATGGTTTTGCTAAAAGGAAAAAATTCAAAAGCATAGTTCACCAAATATGAAAATTATGTCATGAAGACATAAGAATATATTTTGAAGAATGTTTAAAACTGGTAGCCACTGACGTCAATAGAACGTGCCTTTTCTATTATGAAGGTCAATGGTTACAAAAAATATTATTTTTATTTTTGAACTATCATTGTAATGTTGTACTGAACAAAAAAGTCATCTGCACATGAGCTAAATAAGCTAAAGTAAATTAACAGCAAATTGTCATTTTGGGGTAAATTGTTCCTTTATAAAGATCTTACAAACTTTACAAAGAACTGTTTGTGCTCTGTGAAGATGTATTCTTATGTGTTTTACAATATCTTTGATTAAATAAATGCAACCTTGGTGTACTTCTCTAAAAAATATTTTTAACAGCATGTGAGTATCACGGTTTCAGGAAGGGAAAGGGAGCGAGGACTCAAATGCAGTAACTTAAAATATATGGGTTAATTATAAAATAAAACAAAAAGGCAACAAAAACAACCCCACGGGGGAAAACATTAACAAAACAATCAAACTGGGCTGGCAGGGAAGAGCAGGGCTGGACAGAGCTGGAAACGACAGGACAGGATGATATACCACAATGAACTGGCAAATGACAGCAGACATGGGGAGACAATAAACAGAAATAATTAACAAGCAAGCAAGCAAGCAAGCAAACAAACCAACAAACAAACAAACAAACAAACAAACAAACAAACAAACAAACAAACAAACAAACAAACAAACAAACAAACAAACAAACAGGTGAACATAATAAACTAACAATGGATTACCAAGAAGGGTGGGACTAGACAATAACCAGGAGAGCACATGACACAGATAAACAACACAAGCCATGTGCTCACATAAAACAAGACTAGAAGACACAGCCAATGAGAGAACTTATTAACCGCGTGTTCACATGAACACAAAAACACGTGGCACATGTAAAGATGTACCACGTGCTAAGCAACGCACATGTTTCATCCCAGCCCCAACCGAAACCAACTAGACACTGAGAATGAAACACCACGCTGCAGACAGAACAAACACAAACACCAGGATGAGAGTATGCGCCCAAAGCACAACCAGACCTCGAGCGCTTGCATCAAGTGGCGCAAGGCCCGAGCGCGGCCGAGACGGAGATCATACAAATGACACACAATAACAGAAAATGAGTGATCCAACAGAGAAAACTCGAACCGAGCACAACATACAAGACATGACAGAACTAGTGTCTGGACCAAAACAAGAATTAACAAGATCGGAGAAGCAGAATCCTGACAGTAAGTATATACAGCTATTGGAAAAGACTTGACAATCTCTTTATGGATTAAGAATTTATAGATATTTGATATAATTCCTGTTTCATTCTGTGACATTTCTTCTTTTTTTGGTGCCAAAAAAGGTGGCAAGTTTTTAAATTAGTTTTTTTTGTACAACACAATTGCAATATTCTAATTTTAGAAGAGTTGAGAAATCCTTATTTGACAGAATAACCCTGATGTTTAATCTCAACATACTGTATGAAAACATTTATTTGAATTTTTTTTTCTGAAAAAAAAACAACAACAACAACAACAACAACAAAAAACTCTTTAAAATAATAATTTATTTGAAATTAGGAAGAAATGTTCTCATACCTTCAACAAGTCTCTTATGTGGTGCGTGTGTGTGTGTGTGTATTTGTGACTGTTCAGTTAAAGTCCTATTTGGATGTTAAGTGTATTTAACTGTCTGCGCATTTATTATGAGCTGTCTTCTCACCTTGTGTGTTCTGAAAGTAGTGACGCCACAGAGGTCGGATTTTGTCCTGGCCACCAACATCCCACACTGTAAAGCTGATATTCTTGTACTCTACAGTCTCCACATTAAAACCTAGTCATAAGACACAACGGGATACAAATTATACACTGGCAATACTCATAAAACATGACATCAAGTCCTGTGTACAAGGAAAACAAAACATTAAAAATTCAATATTAAACATATAAACTCTACAAAATGTTTCACCAATAGTAGGAATAGTAGTGACTATCTCTCCCAGCTTCAGCTTGTACAAGATTGTGGTCTTTCCAGCTGCATCCAGCCCGACCATCAAAATCCGCATCTCCTTTTTCCCAATGAGGCTCTTCAAAAGGTTGCCAAAAATGTTCCCCATGGTAGCTGGTTAACCTTTACCAATATGAAAAGGAAAAAATCATTTTTTTTTTAACTAAAACATAAAAATTTTCTTACCTGCAATTTAGGGTTTGGCCACGTCCAAAAGAGCATTTGCTACCACATTGTACTCTCTGAACATCAACATCACATAATAACATTAGTACATATTGACTCTTACAAAGATCATAATGTTCTTCTTTTAAACTCTTCTAGAAACCTCTCTGCAATTTAAATGATTACTACATGATCTATGATCTCTGCGGCTGGGCACATTCATACTTCATATTTCTTAAACAATAAGTGCCACATGGTACATGAAGAGACAGAATTAAACTGAAAAAACACACTCAAGTAAAAGGACCGTTACTTGCCAAAAAATAGTTTACATCAGTGCCAGTTTCTTTTAAGTTTGTTTCTAAGTGTGAGTAAATTATTTACTATTTATGGAAAATAAATTTAAAATGTAACATTAATTTATTGTGAAACACATTATGCACTTATGATAATGTGACAAACAGCAGGCTGATACATTTACGAAATCTGTATAACCTAATAATACAAAAAGTGGGTGAAAATCTAGCTGTGGCAATATTTTAACATTTATTATGCACTTTAAACACTGATTAATAAGCTACAAGATGGTGCTGCAAACATTAACAGTAAGGGCCCTATCATACACCCGGCAAAATAAGGTGCAAGATGTGTTTGGCTCGATTTGTTGCTATTTTCATACCAGCGCAACCTTAATTTTCACATTTTGAGCCATGTTGTTTAAATAGCAAATCCATTTGCACCATTCTGTGGACTCATGGGTTTGGCAGTCTAAAAAGGAGGTGTGTTAAGGCCCATTGTTGGTGCATTGCTATTTTGAGGAACTGAAATTGACTGCACCATTCACCAAATAAAAGAAGGTCTAAAGTCCAGCACAGAGTGTGTTAGTGATGCGCCTATGCAGTTCAATTGCTTACACACTGCTTAATACACACAGGATGTACAGCAACACACAAATATCTGGCTGGCACAATGCCTCACAGCAAGTAGGTCACTGCTTCGAGCCCCGGCTGGGTCAGTTGGTATTTCTGTGTGGAGTTTGCATGTTCTCCCCGTGTTCGGATTCCCCCACAAGTCCAAAGACATGTGGTATAGATTAGGGCTGTGGGATAACACAATATTTTAATGTGAACGATCAAAATTACTGCGCGATCCACTTTTTTAGAAAAATCGTATCGCCATATATAAAATATTCTTAAACATACATAGTAAAAGTACTTTGTAATTTGCAAAATAGTCTTAAAAAAATAACTTAAAAAATTGGAATAAAAATTGTGAATCGTGATTTCCCTAGCAAAAAATCATGATAAGATATTTTTTCCATATCGCCCACTCTTAGTGTGTGTGCATGAGTGTGTATGGATGTTTCCCACTAATGGGTTGCAGTTGGAAGGGCATCCGCTGCGTAAAACATATGCTGGATAAGTTGTCGGTTCCTTCCGCTGTGGCAACCCCAGATTAATAAAGGGAATCAGCCTAAAAGAAAATGAATGAATGAATGAATAAAAACAAGTTTAGATTTGTCCACCTGTCAGGTTTTGGAGACGCATGCATCACCATATGGGGCATAAGAATAGGATGTGTGTATGGATATAACTTTGTTTGCTGGAAATTAGAACTGAATTTAAAAATTATTTTGAAACAAATCTTTGCGCTTAACAAACTAAATTAAATATGTAGCCTAATAGATGTCTTCAGTGGAGTGCGTACAACACCGTTTTCTTATCCACGAAAGTGAAGGAATTAAGAGTAAAAGTAAAGAGAAAGTAAAAAAGTCGAATGGAGTTATTTATCCTCGCACTGCAGATGGTTTGTTCAACTGTTTTCTCGATAGTGAAGCGTTTAGTTTTTCCACTTACAAAGTCCTCCATGTAAATAGCTAATGTGCCATGACTCTTAAAGGGAATGGGAGATGAGACTCTGATTGGTTTAATGCACATTACGCTCAAAACACAACCATTACTCATTAAAAGAATAAGCACAACCCTGTTAGACCATGCGCCAAGGTGCAGAGCGTATTTTCCATCCTTAAAATAGCAAAAGTGAATTTAGACACACCCTTAATGCGCTTTAGACTTTTTTCATAGATCGTTAAAATAGAGCCCAATACATGCAATTTGTGCTTGTGTTTGGAAACGTAACATTCTGTAGTGTATTTAGTTGCGGTTTTAGACCGCTTCGCCATTTCAGTGATCAAATAGGGAGGCATTCTTCATCCTCTCATCAGTGACATGCAGTATAAACAACAAATGTTGAGTAATGATTTTGTGTGGTCTTGGAGATTTTTAATGCTTTCACACTGCTATAATGAAGCATCTGTCTTGATTTTTCTGTACGATTTGATTGGACAGAAATCACATGACTAACTTTTCTTTTATTTCTACCTTTTTTATTGTAAAAAAAGGCACATGAAATTTAACATGAAAGTCACTGATTATTCTACTTAACGAATCATCGTAGCCAAGAAAAAATAAACACCTATGACTGCAGGTTAAAGAAAAAAAGGACAACAAAAAGAAATGTCAAGTAAAAGTAAACATTTTTAAAACTACTCATTACTTAGTGAAGTACAATTCCTAAGACAAAATACTTTATTACAGTATTTTAAGTATTTGTAACTTTTATACTAATGCAAAGCCTATTTTGTATTAGGAATAATGTAGCAGTAACCAGAGCATAAAAAATGTAATCCTTGAAAACCAGAGCGCACAAACATTTCAGTGATGTCATGTTAACATAAGGTCATCCTGAAAAGCCTTACAGTGAGAGCGCTAATCTGCAAATTCATCTCAGATGATCTCAGATGACATAACTGTCATCATGCACTGATTAAATAAATGTGCATAGAACATTGAGTCAAGCACTGCATATAGACACTGAAATAAAATGCGATCCCTAATCCAGTTTGAAGTGTGACTGTTTTTAAAACACTTGCATTACAACTAATACAGTATTTTTTAATGTATGTGTTGACTGACATATTGAGATGCACAAGTGGACAGATTCATGAGATGTGTTTGTCAAAAAGAAAGGTTTCTCATGCATACTCCATAAAATGGTTATGACATCAACATCATATGGGTAGTAAATGCCAGAAAACCTAAAATGTTGACTTGCATGACAATTCAAATCCAGCAGAACTACCGAAGCCCAGATCTGATCACATACAGCTTTCAGAGGCAGATGATTTCAACAGGCAAATGGAAACAATCATTTAAGATCAGAAAAGCCTGATATGAGGAATGCTTTCTAATGTCATGCTGTAGGTGGGCTGCTGATGAAAACGCAAGAGATGCTCGAATCTCATGGTTATCAATCATAAGATAAAATTGCCTTCTCATGGTAAAGCGGCGCGTGTCACGTCAGGAGGCAGAGATGCTGTTTTACGTCTAGCATTTTTTTTTTCTGTCACGACGCAGAGATGCTACTATATCAAGAGCTAGACTGCATATTGACAAATAATAAATTACACCGGTATTCAGTGTAAATATCATCGAACATATGACATTACTTCAGCAATATCACATCTATTTTAGACGAACCATAGCCTATATTTTAGCGTTCTGCAACATCACTACTCACCTCAGGCACAGACACCGGATAATTTCACGCAAGTCACTCCGCTCTCGCGATATACGAGGGATAAGCTGGAGAAACACAGAGATCTCGCGATATTATCGAAGCGCATCCTGGTGTGTGCATTAAAAATGTCAATGAATGAACTCATGAAAGCGGTGGTCTTACTCAGGAAAGAGCATTAAACATCTTCACTGAGAGAGAGAGAGAGAGAGAGAGAGAGAGAGAGAGAGAGAGAGAGAGAGAGAGAGAGAGAGAGAGAGAGAGGAATGCAAAGTATTTTTCTATAAGTAATACTACTTTAAATTAAATTAAATTACATTACCCCAAATATAAATTAAATAATCTGACACTATTAAATAATGTATTTTATTAAATAGGAACTCCTAATAGAAGAAATGATATGGCAAGCCTTTTTGACATTTAATCAATAATCCGTACTAGAATCTATGTTACTAGTATTTATTTTTAGATACTAGTATCTTGTCCATCAAGTACTAGAACTAGTACTAGCGCTTTAAAAAAAAAAAAAAAAAAAAGAATAATAAAAAATAAATTTAAATAAAAAAATAAATAAATGAATATATATATATATTGCATATATATGTATGTATATATATATATGTATATATATATATATATATATATATATATATATATATATATATATATATATATATATATGTGTGTGTGTGTGTGTGTGTGTGTATGTATGTATATAGTGCTTACTTATTAGACACTAGAAGTTTTCATTAAATACTAGTACTCATTCATTAGATACAAATAGGTACTAGTACTTAGGCCTATTCAGTAGATACTACTACTTGTTCATTAGGTACTACTATCTATTTAATAGGTACTTATTCATTAAGTAACCATTAAATAGAAACTAGTTCTTATTTATCAGAATTTATCAGATAGTACTTATTCTAATAGTGACTAGTAACTATTCTGTTTTTAATAGTAACAAATAAAATAAAAAAACATTATTTCTATGGAGATCATTGAGACTATTTAACTATTCAGTTTTGACTGGATTCCAGTTGGCACTAGTATTTCTTATGTACTAGTTATTCATTTGGTTTTAGTACTTATTAATTAGATACTAGTACCTATTTATTCAATACTAGTACTTAATATCAGTGGTGTAAAGTAAATTACAAATACTCATATAACTGTAATCGAGTAGTTTTAAAAAGTTTTTTTTTTTTTTTTTTACTTTCCCTTGAGTACATTGTTAGAGCAGTATTGGTACTCTTACTCCATTACTTTCCTTTAAAATGCAGTCACTATTTTATTTTTAGATTTTTTTTCAATCTTGTGATTCCTGTCCAATCAATTCGCATATAGAAGGTAAAATCGCATTATATTGAACTACCTCAAGAAATGGGCAATTTACAATTGCAGCAAACTGTTTGGAAGCTTTAAAAGTGTCCAAGTATACGTCCAAAATCTTTACACGCATTGACCCAGAGACTGTTTAGATGCATGTCACTGATGAGAAGATGATGGATGCTTACTGTATGATGGCTTAAACACCCAGCAGACACAAGACATCAATACAACGTCAGATTGACGTTATCCCTTAATGTCGTAGGGACATTGCATTGTGTTTGAAATTGAAAATTGGGTTGATGTCAGAACGCAACGTCAGACCGACATCAGTGTCAAATGTCCAACCTATCAACCAAACATCAACATCTAATGATGTTACAGCTTGACGTTGTGACGTTACCACTATGACGTCTATCAGACGTTGTATTTTGGTTGCCACACCTGACAAATAAATGTTTTGACGTCAATATGACGTTGGTTTAAGATGTTGGCTTGACGTTGAATAATGTCACTTTTTAAAACAAGCTAAATGAACCAAACATCAACATCATTTGACATTAAATTGTCATTGTCCTTGTGGCTAGACATTAAATTTTGGTCACCTTACATCACAACCTAAAGCTAACCTAAAATTAACGTCTTATGATGTTTCTTGCCTGCTGGGCAATAACTAAATACACTACAGAATGTTAAGCTTACACACATTTACAAATTACATGTAAACACATCAGCTTTTCACAGCAAAATACTCTTGGGTCCTTTTTGAAAGGTCTACTTTTTACTCATACTTTGAGTAATATTTACAACAGATATTTTTACTCTACTTGCACTACATTTTTGGCCAAGTACTTTTACCATAGTATGATTTTTCAGTATTCTGTCCACCACTGCTTAATACAGTATATACTAGTACGTATAAACACTAGAGTATCACTTCATTTTGATGGTCCCTTTAACGTATTTCGTTGAATTTCAGTTACATTTGCATCTACAAGCCAACTAATTCTAATTAGATTCTAAGTAGACTGTTAGGTTAGGGTTAGTGTAAGTAGATATGTACTTGCAAAGTTTCTTATAGTCAGTTAAATGTCTGTTTATGAGCAGTATTAGCAAATATTAAGCAGACAATCTACTAATAATCAACTGAGAATTAATTGGCATAGTTGCAATGCAGCTTTTAGTCAACAAAATGTGCAATAGGGACCATCAAGTACTTGTTTATTATTGCTTATTCATTAGATATCATTTTAATAGATACCAATTCTTTCTAAATAGATACTGGTACCAGTTCATTAGATAGTAACTATTAAATAAATACTAGTAGTTATTGATTAGTACTAGCTGATTTTAAGATTTTATATATATATATATATATATATATATATATATATATATATATGAATATTACATTTGAAAAGCCTAGACAGGCTACACATTTAATTGTTTTGGTATGCTTTTACAAAAAATGAACAAAATTAAAATAATAATATGACAATTCCTAATTAGTGTAATAAAGTAGGCAAACGAGAGAAATATCTTTACATTATTTAAAAATAAATAGGATAAATAAGGTTAGAAAGTGATAAAGATCCACACTTTTAAGATATGGAAAATCTACACTGTAAAAAATCCTGGTTGCCTTACATTTTCAAGCTGAATCAAATTAACCTTATGAGTACATTAAATTTTTATTATGTTAAACTGACTAAAACAGCTTGCATAACTTATAAAATTAAGTTTGAGCATGATTAACTTAGCTTAATTAGTTACAATGACCTAAACATATGCTGTCAGGACTAATTGATCATAGAATTTTTACAGTGTGGAAAATAGAATGGAAATTGTTAATAACAGTAATGTTGACCTAAAAGATCTTTTCAAGATCAAAATCATTAAAATAGCAATAATATGCAAGTGTCTAGTTCCATGGTCAAACGAAAAACACAGAATTTTTTGACAGAACAGAATGAAAAACAAACAAACAGTGGTGACATTTGTGGGTAAATTTAGAAATGCTGTCATAAATTTAGGGCATGTGCCTTTTCCTTATGTCTCATTAATCAGTGAGCTACCACATTTCGAAGAGGTTTCTTTCAGAACTGTGCATTATGTGATAATTTACGACTGAAGGATCTGTTGCTGTGAATGTTTGGAAGCACATTTCCATATTGTGATTAATAATTCAGCTTTGACTGAAGCTAATGAATAAGTAACCTACTGGATGCTGCCAATTTACAAAACTTGGCAACAACTATTTCCTCGCGCTGCCAACTTACTCAGTAGCTGCATGCCAGATTATCAGCAGTGAAGCAAAAGACAACTCAGTATAGAGTAAAGATTATGAGGTTAATCAGAATAGTACAAGAAATTATTACAGCTTCATGACATGTGAATGTTTACTATACATTTTGTGCCTAATAAGTGTGTGCTTGTGAAAGGAAGTGCATATAAGCACACAGCATCTGGACAGATCTAGTACAGATGAATAGGAAACTCTGTCCCGGTGTCACTTCACACAGTCCACCGTGTGTCAGTGGGTTTTTGATCGATGTGTTTATCAATTCGGTGGTTAGGAAAAGAGAGAGGGAGTGGAGCAGATGCTTGCAGCTGCACACCAGATTATAGGGTGGAGTGCTGTATGGGGGGGGAGTGCTGTGTTTGTGTGCACTGGGAGTTTTGGGGGTTGTGGGGTGGGCAGAAGAGGCTACAGTGGATAGGGGTGGGAGCAGGAGAGCTGGGCCGGGGGGGGGGTGGGAGTTATAATTTAAAGGAGCCTCTCCTCTGAAGTGTTTGCCAAAGTGCACCCCAGCAAACACAGTCATAAGTCGGGTTGGTTAGGCTTGCAGAACTAATGAGGGCTTGCACATTTAGGCAACAGCTTTGATGTTCTGGGTAGCTGGCTCCTTGTTTTTTCTTTCCCTTTCTCTTTTTCTCTCTATCCCACATCAAAAATGGAAGGGAAGCTGGACAAGGAGCCCAGAAGCAGATGTTTTCAGCTGTTTTTTCCCCTTTTCCTTTCCTTTTGATGTACCTTGTGTGTTTATGCATATACGCACTTTCACAACAGCTTACTTTAATATTTCATATTGTATATCAGTTACACATCTGTCTGTCCGTCTATCTATCTATCTATCTATCTATCTATCTATCTATCTATCTATCTATCTATCTATCTATCTATCTATCTATCTATCTATCTATCTATCTATCTATCTATCTATCTATCATCCCATTATTTTTACTATCCTGAGCATCCATTTATTAATACGTTCAATTCATAAACCTTGAAAAATTTGTCTCTTCAGCTATCAATTCATACACCTACTATCATTTGTTCATCTCTCTACCCATCTATTTATTCATCTGTTTATGTGTCTAACCACCATACTTTCATCTATTATTCATCCATCTATCCATTTAACCAAACAAATTATGCATTTATCTGTTTGTACTATCCCTCCATCCATCCATCCAGCCATCCATCTATGCCTTCATGTGTTTGTACGGTCTATTAATTCATCAATCCAATGTTGTCCATCTGTCTGTCTGTCTATCAATCCATAAACCCACCCACCCATTCCATCCATCCATCCATCCATCCATCTATGCCTTCATTTGTTTGTACGGTCTACCAATTCATCAATCCAATGTTGTCCATCTGTCTGTCTGTCAATCTATCCACCCACCCATCCATATCTATCCATTCATCAATCCAATGTTGTCCATCTGTCTGTTTGTCTGTCTGTCTATCTATTTACCCATACTTTCATCTTCCCATCCATTCAACTACCATTCCATTATTTTTTACTATCCCGATCATCTAATTGTTAATACCTTCATCTATCTTTCAACCATTCATCCAATAACCCATCATCAATTTATAAACTTATTCATTTGTCTATCGTCCATCAATCCATACACCTACTCGTGTGATCACCTGTTCATCTCTTTGCCTATCTATCCATTCATCTGTTCATCCATCTAACCCCTCATACTATCCTCCATCATTCATTTATTCATCCATTCATTCATTCAAACACCTTATTCATGCACTCATCTGTTTGTACTATTCATCCATCCCTATTTTCGTCCATCCATCCATCCATCCATCCATTCACGTATACCTTCATTTGTTTGTACGGTCTACCAATTCATCAATACAATGTTGTCCATCCATCCATCAATCTATCCATCCATCCATCCATCCATCCATCCATCTATCTATAAATTAATTAACACGTTCATCCATCTTTCATTTGTTTACAACCTTTCAATCAGTAATCCATCCAAACACCTTTGTCTGTTCATCCATCAATCCATAAACCTACATATGTATTTGTCTTATCATCCATCCATCCATCCAAACACCTTCTCATGCATTCATCTGTTTATACCATCCATCCATCCATCATTTGCTTGTACTTACCCATTCATCCATCCAAAGTTGTCCATCCATCCATCCATCCATCCATCCATCCATCCATCAAAACATCTTCTCATGCATTCATCTGTTTGTACTATCCATCTCTTCTTCCACCCATCCCTTCATTTGCTTGTACTTGCGCATTCATCCATCCAAAGTTATCCATCTACCTATCCATCCATTCATTCATCCATCCATCTATCCATCTGACTTGTCTTTCCATATGGTAGCTTACTGAAATATTTTCATTTGACCCAGCATTGGTTCGGTGCCCTTTTGTTTTAACTGTGGCAGTGTCTGGTTGTCATTACTCTTGATGCTGTCAGTATGTTGCTTTGTATGTGTGATTGGCTACCCTGCATTTTGTCGGGGGGTTGTGGGATGGGGGGGGGGTGGTCTACGACCATCCAATTTCTCTGTCTCACACATGGGAGAAACAGCGACAGGAAATTCCCTCTTGCAGCAGCTCCAGGGTGAAATGATAAAGGAATAAAGAAATGCAAACCAGATATCCAGCGCTTTATCATTCCACGCCACTCTTTCTCAAGTCCTCTTCCACTCCCATCTTTACTGCCAGAGGAAATACCATGAGAAGCGAGTTTGATAAAGCCAGCAGACCGTGGGTGGTCACTTCACAGCGCTTCCTCGTGAGGGATCATTCAGAAAAACTCATTTATTCCTAAGATGTTTGTGCATTCGAAAGAAATTCAGACAAAGCGTAGTCATCAGACGTTTGTCTGTGTTTAGTTAGGAAATCGCACACAGTGGTCCAGTTTCTGACAGTTGCGGATTCACAGACAAGGACAAACAGTACTCAGCAGCACATGGCACAACTTTGGACAGTTGATCCCTATAAGACAGGTTCATGCCTCAATCTGCTTATAAATCTCTTTATGAAAGTCTATCCCTGTTGCACATTATGAGAGGTCAGATTCAGTATAAAAAAATCTCCAAAAGAGAAGAATTATATTTATGTCTAATATGCCAATCTATGACCCTTCCTCTTGTCTTTCCTGGTTCTAAAACCATGATAAACCAAGAAAGGTTTCTCAAAAACAACATTTTACAACATACTGTAGGTAAATTAATTCTCTACACACTTCTTAAAAAATGACAATATATGAAAGTTAATTCATCCACAGAATTAAGGTCATTCCCTAAGCATCAAAATGAAGCCTTCAAAATCGTATACATCACTTTCACTGTGATAAGATTGTAATGGCAACTGTTTAAATACAGTTTAACTCTGGACTTGAGAGTATAAATGTCTTCCATTCTCGCATCAAAGGCATCTGGCATTCAACATTGTTCAGCAGTATGAGATGAGATGTGACTGTTTTTAATCAGCTGCGAAAAATCCACGGGAGGCACAAGTGTTCTCCAGTCATTCCTTCACTCTATCCATCTCCGTTCGCAGATTGGTCTGTCTCTCTTAAGGTCAGGATGGGGTTACACAGCATATCAACTGAACATTTGTCCTGGTTTTCATAAAAACCAAGCAAACTCAGACCACGACGCAAGGCACATTCTCTTTCAATTGCTCCAGACTGGGGGGAGTTTCTCTATAACATCTTATGAAACAGCACTGAGATGTTCCCTTCAATTATCACAGCCATTGATTCTTTATGATCAATGTATGCAAAGATCTCAAAGTTGCAAGATACAGTGTTTTAGAAACCTCAACCCTACTAGGATGGCATTTCACCATCAATATTCAATATGACATGATCTTCTCGAAGATTTCACCAAGTATGGAATATACATTAAGTGCACTTGCGAAAATGTAAAAAAAAAAGGCAGTGCCTATATTTCACAGGAATAATTTGTTCCTGCTGTTGTGACTTTGGAGGAGTGCAGATGGCGTTTAGACCATTTGCTTGGTTCTGGAGGCTGAAGATTCCAAGCGGGGAAGAAAAAAAAGACAAATGACATGAGTCACCTCCTCCTCAATCTCTGACTTGGCATTTCGAGAATAACAACAGCAACACGACGCAAATAGATCCCAGATGATGGAGGTTAAAAGTAGGAGAGAAACGGATAAACAGACACACTGTGGGAGAGCAAAACACACTTGCAGTCGCATTCGATTTGACAGGGTACAGGTTGTTGCCTCCCGGTCCAAAAAACCAAATGGAGATTTGGATGAAGGTGTGCTGCTCACTTGCACACATTAACCCACTCTGTGACCTTGCACTCCTCGCAGAGCACATAGCAGCACCAGTGGAAGCGGCAGTGGCAGCGTTCACTTCGAGCCTGTTTCAGGATGTTGTGTCCGCGGCCGCAGCACAACGACCCACAGCCGTCCATCCCTGGGCTGCTTTTGTTGCAGATCCGCCCCTGCGTTCCCAGCGAATCCACTGCAGGCTCGCGGTCGCAGAAGTCAGGTGATTTCTCGAAGTATACTAACTCACGTGAGATACTGCGCCTCCGCTGGCCTCGGAGCGGATCTGAGCCAGTGCTTCCACCTGTTCGAGAGTTAAACACTCCGTTGTTTTTGTTCTGAGAGTTTATAAAGATGGCAGTCAGAAATTTCTCCCGCAGCAGGGATCCCACAAGCCGGAATTCAGGAGAAACGTACCAGCAGGTCTTGAACTGGCAGCTGCCAGATGTGCCATGGCACTTGCACTTTCTCCTCATATTGTCAGTAACTACCTGTTGGAGTCAAATCATAATGACATGATTATGGTGTATACAGTTAATTACATACTAGTACATCCATCTTCATCTGTTTTCTATTGACTTAATAGCTCTTATAGTTTTAAGTTTTTAAAGTAATACAATAATACATTGAACTGTTATTGTCAAATTTATTGCCCTCACACCTTGAATTCATATTGGTGTACATTTTTTTTACAACATAAAAGTTTTTTTGTTTACATTTAATGAATTATTTATTAATTTTCCTGTGGCTTAGACTCTTTATTCATCTGAGGTTGCCAACTTATCCAGTATATGTTTTATACAGCGGATGCCCTTCCAGCTGCAACCCAGTACTGGAAAACACTCAGACACACTCATACACCCTGGCCAATTTAGTTTATTCAATTCACCTGTACCCAGGGTGCGAATTACAGGGAGGTTGGGGGGGACTGACCCCCCTAAATAACACTAGATCCCCCTTGAAAGATCTTAAAACAAGATGTATAAGGGGGTCAGATCTTTAATACTGAGAAAAACTTCTCTCTGATCTGTATATTAAATAATAATGTTAATAATTTAAAAATTAGATCATATAAATGTACATTTGACGCACCCTATAATGGATCAAACATTGTTAATAAATATTGCGCCAATCAGACTAATTGGCAGATCTAGAGCACCAATAGACATTGTGTTCACAAGACTTTGTTTTCTTGTAAAATATGTGTTTGTATCTATACTTAGCCTGAAAATAAAGTCAAATTAGATGCATAGTTTGTAATTTAACCTACAGAAACATCTGAAATAGCTAATCAATAGGGCCAGACAGAATCTGTGGACCTTTTTTGTGATTTCTGCTGAGAATTTTGTAAAAAAAATAATAAAATAAATTTTAAAAAAATCTGTGGATTAATGTAAAATGATTTTAGGATCATCATACCTAAAAACATAATATATGAAATTAAAAAATACATTTTACCTTCTATTTAACGTTTACAATGCAAATTTAATTAGATCCACTTATTTGGTAAACAAAGCAAGTCTCTCATTTAATATATCTATTAAAAGACAGAACATATCCCTTTACAAAATAAATCAAATGAACTTTCTCATATTACTATTATTATACACAATAATGTTGATGAAATTGATTAAAAACTGAATAAATATTAATTTACCCACATCTACACAAGTAAATACAGACTCAATAATTGGCTAAAAATCTGCAAAAGTCAAAAACCTAAAGTCAAAATGCACTAAACATCCCTCAAAACCCTGAAAAAAAAAACTTAAATACATTTTATTAACAAACTAGACATAATTAAAAGTAAATACTGTACATAAATGACTGAAGCATGTATTACACAAACTAACAGTTGACAAACAGTTGACCACCATGATCGTCAACGTTTAATTTGCACACTGCCTGTACAGCATATCTTTGGACTGTGGGGAAAACTGAAGCACCCGAAGGAAACTTCACACAGACATGCCAACTGGCCCAGCCGGGACTCGAACCAGCAATCTTCTTGCTGTGTGGTGCTAACCACTAAGCCACCATGTTGCCATTTAATGAATAATTAATTTTTAAAAAGAAGTGTTTTATTAAGTCTAATTCAGTACCAATTATCAGATATTATTATTAGATCCCCACCTGTCTGCCCACTCTGTTATTATGAATCCTCATGCGAGCGTGTATATCACGAGGAGATCCTCTGGAATCCAACCAATCTCTAGAAAAGCGAACACCAAAACGGATATCATGACTGCAGCCTCCCCACTCCCAGGTGTCCTGCAGCATTGTGACCTCATCCGGCAAGGGCTTGAGGAGACTCATCGGGTGGGACGAGTGCAGGTTGGCAGGAAGGCTGCCGTGGAGCGAGCTGAGCTCAGGTGTGTTCTCTCCTGCACCTGCTAAAGACACCCCGCTCCTCTGAAAGGTCTGAAGCTGGAGCTGGGTTAACTTGAGACGGATTTTATCGTCATCCAGGCGTCGTTTAGCCTCACAGCCACATCCGCGCAACTTACCGAGGCTGCAGGCTGAAGCCACCGAGTGCACGACTCCTGCAGCCAGCAGCGACAGCGAGAAGGCACTCTCTCGAAAACCTGTGATGAAACAGAGCATTATAGTCACTTAAATGGAATATTGCAGTCTTTATTATAAACGATTTAGCCATTCTATGCATATCTTTTATTATTAATATTATTAGCATCATCATCATCATCATCATTCATGGGGTTTCATAATCTTTAAAAACTTATGGCAATGTATGACTGTTTTACATTTTAAAAAATTTGTATGATAAGCATTATAAGTGTGTGTTCCAATATTGTAGTCCCTGCTTAAATTGCTTAAAGGGCACCTATTTTACCTCTTTTTCAAGACTTAGAAGTCTTTTGTGTCTCCAGAATGTGTCTGTAAAGTTTCAGCTCAAAACACCCATCAAATTATTTATTATAGCTTGCAGAATATTGGATTTTCTGCTCTGAACATAACGTAGCTGCTTTTGTGGCCTGTGCCTTTAAATGCTAGTTCTCCCCACCCACCGTTCCCACATTCCTGTTAGAGTGTGCCTCAATCTTAGGCTGCGCGCGTCAAATAAACAGCACAGTTACAGACATGAAGGAAGCCGATCTCACATAACGTTTGTGAGAAGTACTAAAGTAAGAACTTTCCCAATGATTATCTGATGTATTTGTTGTGGAGTCAATTCAAGCCTTTCTGCAACGATGAGTCACACCCAATGTCGTTACAAGGTTCATGCACACACAGACACACATTTAACTTTACACTGTTTTTGCTTGGTGAATGTGACAAGATGCACGTTAATTTCCAATGCTGCATGGATATCTGTTCTGTTAATGTATAAAAACCTGATTTAACGTCCACAAACCGGGATTGAAGTGTTTTCTTTTATAATTGTACTTTTTATAATTGTACTGACATTTGGCTGTGGTGATAAAGTAAAGACGGTAAAATCTCTGTAATTCATTACAAACATGCACTGTTTTAAAAACATTTGGAAAACTCATTCTTGATCACATTTGATGATGATTGATGATCACAGCGAGCTGAACAGATCTATTAATCCTAGTTGCTTTGTGCACGTCCTGTCTTGTTGATATGATTATACGTGTTGCTACATAGACATGTTAATATCCGACTGTCAATCAATTCGGTGGGCAGAGAAACCACACTCCTATGTCACGTTGTGGATGCCTCAAAATGGGAGGGATTTGGATCCAATTTTAACATCAGGAAATTAAAAAAAAAAAGAAACTTATTGTCTTTATATCACCCCAATATGACTGTGGACACACTATACACACACACACAGTTCTGTCGCTTCCAAAATATGATTTACATCATAGGTGCTCTTTAATAGTTTTAAAGTTAGATTCTGACTGGCTGGTAATGTTTTTTGTTCTTCAGATGGATGCAAAACTCTTAAAAGAATGAAAAATCTGAATTGCATATTGAAAAGCTGCAATCGTTTCTTTCAGTGAATGTAACGTTAAATTGATTAGTCTTCCCTACAAGAAATACATCTTGAGAAATCCAGACGAATCAGATTTGTGAGATTATAATCTCTTTCCTCTGTGCTGTATTTCTAACAGTCATGGTCTAGACTGATTCCAATAGTCTTTTAAATGAAGACCAATTTTCAAAACTTTACTGTTATTATTCTAGTTATCGTCCTTGGTCTGAATACCACTGCAAACAAAGCTGCTAAGAGAGTAAACATGACCTTCAAAAACTGAAGCAGCTGGTGAGATAATTATCTATAATGATCATTATCTAAAATCTCATAAAAGATGTTTTCCATGGTGCAAATGCGTTACACAATGACTCAACGCTGATATTTTCCCTCTTTGGCCAATGTAGCATTTCAATGCCCGGATTATGACTGTATTGGCTCTCTACAACTTCAGCTTCAGCACTTCCCATGCCCCTTTTGCCATCCACTCACCCCTGTTGAGAATGGCACTCTGATGGGGCAACTTGCCATGGTTCTCCAGGGAGGAGCAGTTCCAGCGCTGGTCTCTGAGCTGGTGCTGGCATTCGTGAATAGCAACCTGAATGCCCTGCAGAGCAGAGGCTGTGACATCAGGGCTGCGCACACACAAACGCATCTGTTTTTTGGTCAGGCCTGCCAGTCGTAAACACACTGCGTTGGGGGTAAGCACTGGCTCTCCTGCCACCTTCAGGCCGAGGATGTCATTGCCCAGTACCCTTAGAAAGGAGAAAATTAATTTTATAGCAGTGATATCATTATGAAGTAACACTCGGTGCAGTAAATATTGCAAAAGGCTGGTGTTACTTAGCATCACATGTGGTCTTTGTAGAAATGACTCACATATGTGAAGAAATTATGACAACGATTGAATGGATTCAGTCATTAACGAGAAGCAGGGAAAATATTGTTACAGGCACGGATGGTTTTATGGTGCCATATTCATTTCAAATAATAAGATCAATACACGCTTACTGGAACATTTTAGATATGGCAGAGAAAAAGTGACAAATTCTAGTGCTTTTTATATCAGCACTTGGAAACAGTTGTGCGCTTAAGTGGCCTGACACTCAAACAAGGCTGTGACCTTGCAAGAAAACATCCATGAATATTCAGACGCCCTGGTTTCTATCAGTGTCTTGGCATGCCTGAGGACAATCTGATGAGAAAATGACTATATGGAAAAGATTTGTGGGAAGTATTATATCCAAATCATAACACGCTGGTGTTAATAAATACATTATGCCCATTGAGTGTTCAAAAAAAGAGAAGAACAACCATAACCACACAGCTTTTATGGTGAGATTATTATTTTTTCATGTAGATTTCAATTAAGAATCATCAAGAAAAGTACTAATAACCATCACTAGGAACTAACAGGTAGACTACCAGCAAGAATTGGAATACATAATTAATATTTGAATGACACATTCCCATTTATTCAATGACAAACAATTAAAGTTTATAGTAGCACATAGCCAATAAGTAGGCTACTAGACATTTGAAGTGGATCAAAACCTTTCATAAAAGTTGTCCTAAAACTATTGAACACTCATTCCTGTCATAGGATAATTTTGTTAAATATTTTCAACCACTTATAACGTTGACTAATGTATAGTGGAATACTTAACAGTATTATTTTTACAATACAAATACAAGTAACTTTAAAATAGATAGTCTACTATACTGGCAGCTGTGCTGGGTAACCTGAAAGTTTTTCTTTTTGTGAATTGCCCTAAAGTGGCACACTGCCTAAAGTGAGACAACTGCACTCTAGTGATTGTATCTCCATAACTTTCCAATGTGCAGGTCAAGCTAGAACTAACAAAGCTACAAACTTTAGACCTTAGACGTCCCTTTTTAGAGCAATTCAATATTTAAATCATGCAAAATATATTTTGAGGCATCATACTTCATATCAGTCACCAGGCTTTTAAAACAAACAGCTGATTAACTTCAACAGATCTCGTGAACGCGCTTCCACCTTTCTACTTACGTGAACGCAGGTGACAGAAGCGCAGCAGTCACAATCAGGACTCGTCCCAAACACTGTCTGTGGGGTAACTCCATTGCGTCGAACGCTTTTCTCGACGGGACATTAAAACACCTGTGGGATTGCTTTAACGACGAACTGGAAATGACTTGAATTGTTTGTGTGAGGAGCGGGGAGTTGAGCAAGCAGCATTTGATGAAGCTTGGGACTGGAGCGTGTATGTCACTGAGAAGGAGGAGGAGGGGGCGCCGTCAGGGTGGGCAAACATCGCCTCGGGCGCTTGTTTTTAAATGCGAACGGTGTAAACGTAGGCCTGTCAAATTTTACGTGTTGCTAAAACTGAATGTGATAATTGTGGCGTCTGTCTAATAGTAGTGTGCATGCTTAATAGGGCAAACATGTCATTAACAACCCAGTTTTAGGTTATTTTCAGGTAAATAAACACCTTGCAGTAATAATGACAAAAGTAGCATTGACTAATAGTCTGAATTTTATGTTCAATAAAAATTAACAAGCATTTTCATCAGAATATAATTGTTTATTTGTTTATTTGTTTAATTATTATTATTAGTTTTATTATTATTATTATTATGCAATTTTATTTATTAAGCAAGCTATTCCATGATATTACATGCAAAATAGTTTTAAATAAGGATTTTTTTTCCTTTTTGTTTTGGGCTATTCATTAAATAGATAGGCTATAGCCTCTAGAGCATTATTTATTTGTCTTTGGACGTCTTGAGTTATGTATTGCATTCTGGGATGCTTTTTTTGAAAAACATCCACATTTATGCCAAAATTCTTATATTAGAAAAAAATGACAATTGGTTAAATGGTAAAGTATGAATATTGGCAAGTATATAAGCACATAAAAAAAAATTGTAAGTAGCCAATAATAATAATAATATCAAATTTCCTACAGTAAAGTAAGCAAAGTAGGCTAAGCAAATAAGACAATAAGTAAAGGTTCCAGCCCCAAGTCAGACAGTTATAATGCATACAATTTCTGATCACGAGTGCGAAACAATCCAGTATAATTAAATGTTATTGGACAGAAACATTGCAAACCATTTCAATGGCCAGTATACAAACCTGGGTATACAGCCTAATGTACAACTTAGTAAAGCGCTCATGCACTTGTTAAAAGTTACTTGACATTTGCTGTAGGCTATGTGCATTCTTTGCATTTTTTTTTATTTTTTATAGTTTTTACAGTACAGCATTCTACCTGTCTTCACTGCTAATCTCGTGAAGAGACATTTTGCTCCCTCGCAAAAAAAGTGTATGCCAACTCCAGATAAGTAAAAGTCATTCATATAAACTACAATATAAGCGGGTTCGCAGCAGCAGGCAGGCGTGCGGTTCTTCTTGAACAATGCGAGGTGCGTGTGCGCGTTCATGTGTTTGCCCTTCCTCCCACTCCGAATCAGTTCAACAGTTCACCGTGCAGTGACGTTTCACTTTAATTAGGCCCACATTCATCATTTTGCCCGACACTCTTAATGAGAAGCCTTTGCTGACTGTTGCTGGAGATAGCCTAGAGCACTACTGGAAAATAGACTTATTTCGTTTGTTTGTTTATACACGTCTGAGTTTGTGCGTGTAATTAGTCCCATAACTGACCATGATGGAGAGCTTTTTGTCAAGGCTCAATGAAAGCGATACGCAATTACATAGCGGGCCAACAAATTATGCATAATGCACGTAATAAGTTTGTCCAATAAGCAATCTGTCAGTGTTTTTTTTTTCTTTCTTTTCTTTTTTTGCAAGCTGCAACGTTGAGACGTGATTATACGACTCAAAGAGACTTGAACATACAGAAGTATGAATAAACCAGAATATTTGGAGCATTAGCAGTTTACAAGATTAAAGGATTATCGTGCTGGTGGTCAGCTATGCGCTATGCGCAGCAGGTGTAAAAACTCTAAGTGACCCGAGAAGGCGCATCTTGCTTCTTATCTTTATTAATATTACCATTAACAGTAGTAGAATCAGGATTAATGTCATGAAATTGAGTTAAATCCATTCGTAACACGGAATCCTGACAACAGTTCTTGGTTTTCCGGCTAATCACCTTCTATTCTCGAAGATCAATTCTTGTATTGGAGCTAATCACCTCTATTCCTCTTCTTAAGCTCTGGCAACGAAAAGTGCATTAGCATTTTGCCTTGGCGTGTATATCTAAGTGGCTTAAAAAGTGATTTGAAGTTGATTTGTATATAAAAGGCGTCCCTTTAACCGGATTGGCGCTAATCTGCGGCGCATCGCATGAGTGTTTCAGGAAAACCTGTTTAAGATCCTTCAAGAGTATAAGAGCAGGCTAAGCCTAGAAAAGCAGCCCTCATTAAATACCACTAACAAAAGCGCACTTCCTTCAGTTAGCCATTTACTTCAATCCCTCAAAGGAAAAAAGTGCTCTATTTCTTTCTGATGCTTTCAAGGCGACATCAAACACCTTATATGTGCCTAAAATACGTCGATTTAATATTTGCCAATCGCTCATAATTCTTTGTGCAGACGATACCATAAATGTATGGAGTCAAATCTGACAGCAAGATAATATTTGATTCGTGCCTTTACTGACCATATGCGATCAAGGGAGGTCTGCGGTCCAGATGGTGAACAGTTTTATCTCGACTCTTTCTACTCTGGTGTCACGTTTTAAGATGAAATCAGTGGAGTTATTTATCGGTAACAATTTCTTATTGTACTCCTCTGAAATCTGAGAAAATAGTTAATTGAGTGTTGTAACGAAGGTATAGTTATAAATGTAACTAATTAGGAGAATGCAGCGGGGGTTAAGCTAATAATAGCAAACATAACAGCCTACATAGGTTTATAAAATACATTTTGAGGTTACAGGTGACACTGTTTGCTGTTGTTACCATATGCTTTATTTACAGATGTTTAAAATGAAATACCACTATTTGTGAACAAATGAATTTTATCATCAGTAAATTATTGAATAAAGTTTGAAATGTACAAGTGACCTTTATAACGCAACGCAACAGCTCCAATTAAATTATTAATTTCTAAAAGCAAGCAAATATGAAAACACAGTGTTAAATAAAGATTCTTTACTGCCATCTGGTTCCATGAAGAAATCATGGAACCTTTCCATCACACAAAGACTCCTGAAGAGTAAAGGTTGTACTGGCATTTATGGTTTGAGAAGCTTATGAATCCCTTCCGTTTCAATTAAGACTTTTTTCACACTGTACTCTTTAAAAAAAGTTCTAAAATAGAGTTTTCGTGATGAAGAACATTCTGCCAATCAGTTCGTTAATAGTTGTGTAAACAACTTTCTAATAACGTGAAGAAAAATTTCCACTATAAAAAAATGTTTTGTGCAATGTAAAAGGTTTTGTGGATCTTGAAGGTTCTTCGTGGAACCTGCATCAATGCCAATAATAATAATAATAATAATAATAATAATAATAATAATAATAATAATAATAATAATAATAATAAATACTGATAATAATATAAATAATAAATAATGATAATAATATTAATAATAGCCTTAAATATTGCTCACAAGAACCGTTCAGGCTCTTAAATGTTCTTTGTGAATCCACATGGTTCTTCTACATTGTCCTTTTTTAGTAACTTAACATAAATGAAAAAAAGTCTCTTTAGACTTCCAGTAAGAATAATTGTCCTTTTAAGAACCGTTCACTAAAAGGTTTATATTAAATCCAAAATGGTTCTTCTGTGGCATTGCTTTGAAAACCTCCATCTAGTCTTTGTTTTCAAGGGAGTATATCAAAAACGCATATGGCTGGCTAAAAAGTTAAGACTTATGCTATACTACAAAAAAGAAATATATAATAAAAATACATAAATGTAACATTATCCGGTTAATTCTCTTGTAAAATAAGACACCGGCGCAGCATTAATCACTGTCCTCGTGTCTTTAATATCCTCCTTTTTATTTAACCATAATTATAGCATGACGTCTCCACTTGATGTGCTTTATTTAGGCTAAACACAACAAACGGGTGAGTGCAAACTCAGAGCGCATGCATGGACACCTATAAAAACATTTTTACGCGTAAGAGGGAGGAGACGCAGTTAAGGGAGTAATGCATGCATGTACTCCGGGTAAAAAGGGCAGTTTAAGATGTTTTATATTCCCCTACTGTAACCGTGGCGCGACACAATCCACACAGAGAGAACTGAGGAAACAAACGGTGCGCGCGCGCACACACACACACCCGCTACAATGAGAAGGAATAAATCCGCGCTGCATATACGGACGGAAGGCGCCTGAAGGGGCTGCATTTCAGATGATTTCGCTTGAATGTACACGAGGAATCTCTGGACGAGGATTACAAAATGATATGTAATTTAAAGCGCCTATAACGGATCTTTTCTTCATCTCCTCTCTTTTATTTCGTGTTTTGCCTCCTGTATTCATTGTGCCCAATGAGAAGAATTAAGCTATCCCTCCATTCAGTTCCACTCAAAAGGAGGGAGGAAAAAAACAGAGGGAGATGAGAGCAGCAAATCCCTTTTTTATTCATCTTGTAGCGTTCAATAAGTGAACAATGTGTCGCCTATCAGTCACCGAGGGGATCAGGTCTACGGGACTGTCCCACGCGCTCAGTGCTGTGAGCAGAGCATCACTAACACACAGACAGTAAGAGCAGCAGCAGCAGCAGTTGCGCTGGCATCCCATCCAGGACCCTTTCTGTGATTCAACACTGATTTTATGAATAAACGCTGACCCACGCTGTCGGGCGCACTGGAATGTGGAGTGGTAAGTGGATGCTCAATGGAAACAATTTATTTTATATTTTCAAGTTAAACGTCAAATATAAATGTTGTTTCTAGTTTTTTTTTTTAAACATTTCATATAAAAATACATGAGCTGTATAGGCTATATGGTTCTTCATAAACGAAACATTTGTTGCATTATAGGGCATTTGTTTAAAAATGTTAATGGAATCCCTAAAGTTTTTGTACTAAATGATAAACGTTTATGTTTGCTAATTTTAGGTTACTTCATCTGTAAGATTACAGAACTTGCTCTTAAATAAACTTTGTTTATTGGCATCGATGGTCCCATGCACCTTTAACATCATTGCAACCTTTCCATTGCACGTCAGATTATTAAAGTGTTGTCATTAACAGTATTTTGACATTCATTGAATACTTTAAACGCATATGTAACCGAAACTATTGTATATCTATATTCCCCCTCATATTTGCTACATAAATCTATTATGTTGTATAATTTCATTGCAGTTTAGCTTAACTATCTGTTAAGATGTTAAATGGGCTATATCTGACAGTGTGTGCTATTGCGTGAATCTGATTTGAGGTTAATTGGTTAACTTTGCCCTTTCAGATATCATGCGGGTTCTCGCGTTGCTTCTCGCAGTTAAAGCGGCATGTGTCCTCCTGGTGTCCTCTCTCACTGGCACAGGGGCGGTCAACAACAGCGGCCGGTGGTGGTAAGAGACAACAGGCCTTTAAAATATAAGATATACTCATATAGGACATATTGATTTAGTGTGAACAACCAGCGCTCACAACCTGTATGTTCAAATAAAGCCTCTCAGAACGTGGAGAAGAAGATTTATTGGCTAGCGTCATTTAGTGGTTGAACTGAAATTGTCACTGCGTAAACGAACATATGAAAGTGGGCATCCGTGGAGCTACCCATATTATCCCTTTAATTTTGAAAAACAGTATGGTCTATTATTGATATTATAAAGTAGGCTAGTACATTGAAAAGGGATTGTTTAAAACGGATAAGTCAAGCTCACTCACTAGATAAATAAATGGGAATCTAAATGTGTTTACTTGGAGCTACTGCTTGCGCGCGCTCTCTCTCTCTTTCTCGGTTTCTCTCTCTGTCATTTTGACAGTGTGGCTTGAACACGGGACAAGATTTTTCAATCCAATGTGGGATAAATTAAATGCGGATTTATTTTATGGCTGGGAGCAGTTCCTTTCCAGGTCGCTTTCAGGGTCGAATTCGTGTATTGTGCTCAGCATTCCGGAGTAGGTTAAATCTAGACACGACATATGAGCCAAAGCTGTGTGTGTATACGTCTCATAATGACGATGAAAAGGAAATTAAAAATGATACACAAAGTAGAAAAGAAATACCAGTATTTATCATCAATTTAAAACACTGTAATTTGTTTTAATTAAGGCATAATGAACTGAATATATTGTATAACGCATAAGTAATAAAATAAGAAAAATGATAATAGTAAAATTATTAATAAAAAAAAAAAATATATATATATCTTTAGTTTAATTTACATTTTTTTATGTAAATTATGTTTGTGTGCATACAGATATAAACAGGATACCATTTATTTAATCACATCAAAATAATACATTTCAGTTTACTATATTGTTAAATTTGCGCTGACAGATCAGAACAGATGTCTATAAGATAAATAAAAATCTACATTTCATATTTATTCATTCATTCATTCCTTTTTTTCCAGCTTAGTCCCTTTAATAATCAGGGGTCGCCACAGTGGAATGAACCGTCAACTTATCCAACATATGTTTTATCCAGCTGCAACCAAGAACTGGGAAAATTTCTTATTTATAATCCATATAAATATTTTACATATATTGTAATTATTCTATTATTGATTGCAATTTATATATTTTTAATCTAATATTATATAATATATATATATATATATATATATATATGTTTGTTTAGAAATAAAACTAGTTTTGCAAATTTTAAAGCTTTATTAAAATTTTTAAAAGCGTTATTATTTTTAAACTTTACAAATATGCAACTTGACATGATTGATAGTTTGGACATGCTTTCTCACATCCTATAAAGCTAGCCATATCCAAACCTGCCAACAATTGAGGTTGGGAATATAAATATGTTATATTTATATTCCCAACCATAATATGTTATGTCACTAACATTGTATATTTTATTTACTGTGATATTATGTTCCAAAACTTCTAATAAATCAAAACATTTTAACAGGATAAATATCATCTGTTAGTTATTAAAGACAAACATCACTGTAAACATACTACAAGAAAAAGCTCTAAAGCTCCATGATCTTGGCTGGCATAATTTTTCCATCTTCAAATGACCAATTACCTTTTTTCAACTTACTAAAGTCATGTCTTCTCTCTCTCTACTAGGGGTATAGTGAATGTGGCATCCTCGGGCAATCTCCTCACTAACTCTAAGAATGTGCAGCTGGTACTCGACCCAAGCCTGGCACTGCTAAGTCGCCGCCAGAGAAAGCTGATCAGGCAAAACCCTGGCATCCTTCATGCTATTGCAGCAGGTCTGCACACAGCCATCAAAGAATGCAAATGGCAGTTTCGTAACCGTCGTTGGAACTGTCCCACTACCCACAGCCCCAATGTCTTTGGCAAAATTGTCAACCGAGGTGAGCATGGCTTCTGAGAGAGGCATCATAAGTGATGTGTTCAATACTATTCATACCTCAAATACTGAAATAGGAACACAGACAATTATAAAATCTGACACTGCAAGTGAATACACTGAAAACAAAGTAATAATTATCAGCATAGTTCTCCAGTTGATTGATTATATTAGGAATTGCAAACGTTGTATTACAAGTTTTCTTAAAAGTTAGGTTATTTGAAAATGTTATGTTTAAATATGCAAATAATATATTTTTTAAATAAATAGAAGCTAATTTGTATGAAATGCTGGCACAAAAATCTGATGATAAAATCAGAGTCAAAATTTGTATCAATTATAATAGAAAAAACTGCAAATAGCAGGAAAAAGATTTTTAGGAGAATAAAACGTGTATGTATAATATATTTATATATATTTAGGCAAATTACATATAAACTTTCCTTTTGTAGATATGAATAAATCTTTTTAAGTCTGCAGAAATGAGGATTTATGGCTCAGTGCCAGAGAAAAACATAACACATTTTTTTGAGAAAACAGCATTTTTTTTCAAAAAAAAAAAAAAAAAAAGAAAGAATAGAAATATGTATAATAATTAAAATCTGCATCTACAAAAAAAAATAAAAATTCAAAAAAGCTTTGTAAAAGGAACAATAGAAGTGTTTCTTTCCATTAGCCTAGAATTTTAAAAATGTCAGCTGTATAAAAAAAACACTGTTCACCCCCTAATATGATAGATTGTAAGTTGATTTCCTTATTTGATCAGGTTGTCGCGAGACTGCGTTTGTGTTTGCCATTACAAGTGCTGGTGTTACTCACGCCGTGGCTCGGTCCTGCTCTGAAGGGGCCATTGAGTCCTGCACCTGTGACTACCGGCGCCGTGGTCCTGGAGGGCCAGACTGGCACTGGGGAGGCTGCAGCGACAATGTGGAATTTGGCAGGATGTTTGGACGAGAGTTTGTGGATTCCAGCGAGAGGGGCAGAGATCTACGCTATCTGACCAACCTGCACAACAATGAGGCAGGGCGAATGGTAAGACACTCCTTAAATATTATATATTAGCTGTAATTTATTGATTATAAGTTTTATGTTTATATATACACATAACATTAGTTTTAGTACTATAGCTAACGGTCAAAAAATTTGCACACCAAAGTTTATATGCGAGGGAAAAATAATAATTACAAAATATAAAAAGAGAAAGAAATTAAGAAACAAACAAACAAAAATGTTGAAATTTTCTATTTTTTTTGCAATATTTCACTAGAATTTAAAGGTATTATCTCTCCATTTCTAAAGATTTTTGGTTATTAAAATATGTAAATTAATAAATCTGTGTAATTCATTGGTTTTGTTCAAATGCACCAAAATACATTGCCTATTAACTGAGAAAAAAATAATAATAATAATTTTCAAAATGGGGTGTACTTAATTATGCTGAGCTCTCTATATTGATTCATATCTCATGTATTAATTACATAACACATCTATCAATACACATATCTTCTTTAACGTCAGACCAACTAGCAGATTTACAGGCATTATAATTGATGTGCTGTTATTTTACGCTTAAACAGCAGAAGAGATTAGGGTTAGTGAGGTTATGCAATAGTTTTCTTCATAAATATATAAATATGGGCGATGCAGTGGCGCAGTAGTGCTGTCACCTCACAGTAATAAGGTCGCTGGTTCGAGCCTCAGCTGGGTCAGTTACCATTTCTGTGTGGAGTTTGCATGTTTTCCTGCGTTCGTGTGGGTTTCCTCTGGGTGCTCCCCCACAGTATTGCGGTACAGGTGAATTGGGTAGGCTAAATTGTCTGTAGTGTATGAGTGTGATTGAGGGCATGGATGTTTCCCAGAGATGGGTCCGCATCAGCTGCGTAAAACATATGCTGGATAAGTTGGCAGTTCATTCCGCTGTGGCAACCCCAGATTAATAAAGGGACTTAGCCGAAAAGAAAATGAATGAATGAATGAATGTATGAGTATATAATTTTCAATCCAAATTAGAAAACAGACTTTCAATAGAAATGTTTCAATATTTATGCAAGTTTCAATATATATGTTTTAATACGCTTGGTAACATTTTATGTTGATGGTCCATTTGAGTATTATTTGACTGTCTGCTTAATACCTCTTGATACTGCTCCTTCAACAGACATTTAACTGACTATAAGAAACTTTGCAAGTACATGTCAACTTACACTAATCCTAACCTTAACCCCAAACTAACAAGTCAGCTTATAATCTAATGAGAATTAGTAGGCATGTAGATGCAATGTAATTTAAAATTCAACAAACGCACCATCAAGATAAAGTGTGACCAAACATTTAAATCCATTATATCAATTTCTCTCCTTCCTTCCTTCCAGACTGTCGCATCAGAGATGCAGCAGGAGTGCAAGTGTCACGGGATGTCTGGATCCTGCACTGTGCGAACTTGTTGGATGAGACTTCCCAGCTTCCGTTTAGTGGGAGATTACCTGAAGGACCGTTTTGACGGCGCATCCCGAGTTGTGTATGCCAACAAAGGCAGCAATCGCGCATCCCATCGAGCAGATCCCCGACACCTGGAACCAGAAAACCCAGCGCATAAACTCCCTTCATCTCGGGATCTCGTCTACTTTGAAAAATCACCTAACTTCTGTTCCTACAATGGCAAAACTGGAACACACGGCACATCAGGACGTACCTGCAACAGTTCGTCGCCAGCTCTGGATGGGTGCGAGCTGCTGTGCTGCGGAAGAGGATACAAGACTCGAATGGAGCAGGTCACCGAAAGATGCCACTGTACTTTCCACTGGTGCTGCCATGTGAGCTGCCTCAACTGCACCAGCACACAGACTGTCCATCAGTGTCTATGAGGAGAAAACACAACCGACTCACAAACTGGAGGAGAAGGCTCCCAAATTGGCTATAGAAATGGGCCATTGAGGTGACCCTGGGTTCTCAGCTCTTGCCCTGGAGGAGTTTTGTTTGTCTTTCCTATCTGAAACGCATGCTTCAGTTCATGAAGCTTACAGCTAATGTGTTGATGTTCTGAATCCGGGGTGGTAAATAGGGAGGGCTTACAAAATGTGCTGTTGAGAACTGGAGTGATAGATCACAGGTTCAAAGTTTGGAATAATGAAGATTTAAAATAAGTATTTCTTAACATTATGGTTATTGGGTTTTTCCAAGTTAAACACAAAAGTACAACAAAGTTATGATCTAAATAGATCTTTCATCCCCAAACATACTGCCCTATACCTAGCCCAAACCTCCAAACAGTAGTGCCACAAATAAAACCATCAGTTAAAATAATTGGGTTAAAAATACCCCAACTTATAACCCAACTAGGTTATTATAGCACCTGCCCAACTATGGGTTATTTTACCCCGGTTCTTTTGCTTTTTTTTTAAATAAAATTTAACCCAATGCATTGGATTATTTTAATTAAATGTAATTTTTTCCCAATCTGGTATTACTATTGCTACTATTACTAGTACTACTATTAATTTGATAATTATGGCTGTGTAAATAAATAACTTACAGTTTTCAAAAATAATGAAAATGCTTTATTTCCATTACATTTCAAGTTCCAGACACAAGTGTTTTTTATCCGTTTAATATAGATCGACTATATCATCAACAATTAAGAGTGCTGGTGAAATGGATATAAAACGCACAACACGGAGTGGTAATTTTGATTAAAACAACAACATTATTATGTTAGAGCTTAAATTAACTTTATGACGCAAAAACAACATTACGTATGCATAACAATACAGATGTTCTATGTCTAATTAAATCTGTTGACTGTTGAAATTCAAAATATTATTAATAAATAATCTAATAAAGGTTAAAAATAACCCAACAAAGCACCCAATATTTTAACTCAACCATTGGGTTAAATAAATAAGCCAATGGCCAATAAATAACTTTACTTTATGTTTTTTTTTTAGAGTGCATGAATAAAATTAAACAAGAAAACATAAAAAAGGTCAGGTTCTAAGCATTCTGTCCTGTTATACCCAAGTAAAAAATGATAAGATGAACATAAGATGACACTTCTTTAATCCACACGGAAGTAGAAAGTGGATTAGAACCCTTCAATCTCAAAGTCATACATGTTATGGCTGCTAGTAGGGCTAATCTGACAAATGAATGCTTTGTTGATTAAGTAGTGTAGTATCTCCTAAGAAGGTAGGCATTCTAGGCACATTCGTACCTACAACTATGGCAATAACCTCAAAGACTTCATTCCAATATTCTTCTAAGTCAGGGCAAGACCAAGGAATATGTAGAAATCTAAACCAAGTAATTCTGTAAAAACAGTACTACTGTTTTGTTGCCATTTCAAAGACATCACTCCAGTCTTCAGAGTCAACACAATACTTCAGAAATCATGCGAATATGCTGAAATTCAACAAATATTAGAATATTGAATGTTGATAGAGACAACTATTTTCATCAATTTCACTTATTTTTAAATCCAGCCTAGGTAAACACGATAGGATTTTCCTAAAATCATTTAAAACTTTTATCCAATTATTCCAAACTTTGGACCTGTAGTGTAGAGGAATAAACCAACATGTTAAGTTTAAGCAAGAAATTTGAGAAAAAGGGGCTTAAACCAACATCCTCACCAAATAGGCAAACGTATTCAATGTATTAACTACTGAGAAAAGCTCAAAAGTTCACGTGTGGAGTTGTCAGGTTATGGTAGGCTTCACAAAACACAACATTTCCGTCATGTTACTTCAGTATAGGTCTTCAAATGGGTCAAGAACCACTACGCAATGTGCGACGCAGAAACATTTTGAAATGTAGAATCTCAAAGCAGCAGTCCTGACGTTCCAGCATGTCTTCTCCTCTCCTCATCTCCATCTCTGGTACTCCGGGGAGCGTAGAAGTAAGAAAGTAGTAACTGGACACAGTTTGACAGATGTTCCTGTGGTTAGCGAACCACAAGCATGCTCTCTCATAAACCAGTGCAAAACTCTAACAAGAGGGCGGTTCTTTAAAATATTTCAACGTTTTGTTTTCTTTAGCTGCAGTCCTCCTCGTCTCACAAAAAGCTGTGTGAAGTGCTTCTCAAGGGATGGGGCTTCCTTTTCCGATTACTATGTAGCGGAATCCCGAACTCGGCCCAACCTCTTGTGATTTCCCATTCGGACCTGCCATGCTTCCCGTCACTGCTTTGAGTCTCCTGCCATTTTTTTAATACCATTTATTATTATGTGGTACACCATGTTATTGTACTGATGGAAAAGTATTGGGAAGATTGACCTAAGATTGACTCTGACAGAAGCATGTTTACTATAGAAATGGCTGTCGAGGGAGATTTCTGTCGGAAGCTGTCAAAGACACTACATTGATTACGCACAAGTACATATTAGGTTTTTTGTGTGTAAGTGTGTAAAGATAATCCTGTAAATGCTCTAGTACCTAGTTTACAGTGGACAAACAGTTCACATTTATGTTTCTGAAAGAGCCACAATTATGAAAACTGTATTTTGTATATCAGCTAACATAACCAAAACGTTGTAAATATTATAAATAGATATGATCTATATATATATTTATGCTGCAACTTGCAATGTGAGAAAATTATTTACTCTGAAAGCAGGGTGAATACACTAGCATTATTATTTACGATATTCCAGACGGTTGTGTGCTAACTTATGCTGATGATCGCAAATTACACTGTAAAAAAAAAAATATTTTCTGCAAAACGTAAAATAACGGCTGGTAAATTACAGAAATTTACTGTAAAATAACAAAAAGGTAATTTACAGACATTTAAATTTAAGGAAATTTCTGTTATTTAAAGTCCATTATTTGACAGTAAATGTCTTTAATTTAACAGCCGTTATTTGATGCTTTTTTCAGCACCCTGCTGGAAAAAAAAAGTAAAATAACTGATTTTTTTTACAGTGTAGATGATCAAAATAAGGCCACATACATCTCAGAGAGACATGATTACTTTGTCAAACGCCTGATTTGCTCGTCTCCACACTTGTGTTTTACATGCACTGAACACCATCTCTTTTAATATTGTGAATGAAAAGTATTTATTATTGTATGATGGCTTTTTTTCTGATGAAATGGAATATTTTAGCTCCGTTTAGATATGTTGTTTTCATATAGAGTAATAGCACAATAAAGTTTATATTTTCATTACTCACGTTCTGAGACAACCACTCATTTCCTAAGACGGCTCAAGGTTTAAGCTCAATAACGGGTTTGTGTTTCACAGCATATTCTCCTCAGTTTCATTTGTGATCCATCAATCATTTCTCCAAACCGCAACCTGCTATGACAGGGTATGTCTAAAGCACTTAACCTAAAATCAACAATATGAGTGTGCGAGTATATCCGTTCCTCTAAACATCATTCTCACCACTGAAAGCACAAGAACAGGCCTCTTCTTCGAACAGTCATGCATTTTAAATCCACAGTAACCGCTGAGGGAATTTGGGCTGTGGGAATAACGCAGCGTTAAATCTGTATGTTTTCATGACACTAGAGGTTTTGCTTCACTTAACTTAATATCAGAAACAAAATAAAGCAATGGTATTAGAAATAATGACAGGCTGTGTTGCCCCCGCCCTGCTGCTGAGGCCAGCAAGACCACAAGAGTTTGGATGAAGGAAGACGATTCTTTCGCTCACCCACCGCAACATATTGCAGGGCCACTGAAGGTCAGGCAGATGAAGCTCTGCACTGCTGTAGACGTCACATACACATCACAGAACATCTCCTGAGATGGGCTTCTGTAAGAAAAAGCAAAACAAAAAGACATGCATATTAAAATATTGCTTAACACTGTAAATGTCCAAACACTTTGTTGAATTTAATTGTAAAAAGACCCACTTTTTAAAAACTTTTTTCAAATGAAGATTATTTAGCATGCAATTTGATAGATTTGCCAAGATTAAAAGGTGGGCAATAATAGAATTTTTATTAATTTTGTGTGAAGTCACTATTACTATGACAGGGTATGGGCAAAAATACATTGAAAAAAAACTTTTTTTCCACAAACTTTTTATCTAAAGGCATATTCGATCAATCCCTTCACCATTCAAGTGATTTATTGAAGTAAACAATGATTGATAACAACAGCCTTTCTCTGAGCAAGTTTAACTCTGCTTCTCTGCACCTCATTCACCTCTACATGAAAAAATATACCTTGTATAAGTTTCATTCATAAAACTTTATTTTTCTCTTTGATTTTTATTAAAGATTCTTACAAGTTTCATACAGAAAGCCCTGTCTTAAAGATTCTCTTTAATCACTGTAAAAACCATTTAATGCAGATAATAAGTTGGAATAAGTACTATGTCACTTGATTGTGAAAATTGTCACATCTCTTAAGTCTTATTTTTCGACCTTTTTGCAATTGAAATCTTCAATACTCAAATGTAAAATCATGATTTCTGAAAACTAAAATGTAGTCATTTCCAGGAATCCAGTTTTTGTTGCAATTGTACTCTTGAAAACACAATATAAAACACAATATCTCAAAAAAAGTTGAAGTTTTTGACCAGTAGACTGGAATCTTATTTAATATTTTTGTATCTCAAAGTTTGTAATTGACTATAAAAAGAGCACCTGCAGATTAGCTACTGGCATTTGAAGCAGCCAATTTATTTTTTGTTTGTTTAGGATTTTTTTTAAATGTCGTTTGTCTTATTTAGCCACAGCCATATCACCCTTCAGCCCAAGATCGATTACCCACTGAAGCTAAGCAGGGCTGAGCCTGGTCAGTACCTGGAAGGTGTTAGTGAGGCCAACAGGGGGCGCTCAACCTGCAACCAGAGACACTATACTGTCGGTGAGCACAGTCTTTCGGATGAGACGTTAAATTGAGGTCAGGACTTTCTGTGGTCATTAAAAATCGCATGGCACTTCTCGTAATGAGTGGGGGTGTAACCCCCGGTGGCCTGGCCAAATTCCCTCCATCGGCCCTTACCCATCATGGCCTCCCAATCATCCCCATCCACCAAATCGGCTCTATCACCGTCTCTCCACTTCCCCAATAGCTGGTGTGTGGGGAGCACACAGGTACCGTTGTCCTATGGCTGCCGTCACATCCTCCAAGTGGATGCTGCACACTGGTGGTGGTGTGGAGAGACCCCTCATGATTGAAAACCGCTTTGGGTGTATGGCCATACACAATAAATGCGCTATAATAAATGTACACATTATATTACTTCATATTGCATTTACCCCTGCTATTTTAAAAATGCAAAAATACAAGACACTATAGTATTTTGATACAAAATATTAATGCTTTTTCATAAACCCTATCAAATACAAATTACAAAATACTATTTGGTATTTAAAATACATGTATCATAAATACTGCTCATCCCTGACTATGACCAGTACTCACTT